TTAAAAATATACACGCAAACTAAAAACATAAAAGACCTATTGTCCAAAGTAAGCACAAATTATAATTTTAAACATCTAGAAATCTTCCTTCCTTTCCCTTCCTTTTCCTTTCTGTTCTTTCTGTTTTCACAAAGACCATGGCTGTGGGAAGCCTAGCACTTACTCTAAGGTCTAGAGACAGCATCTCCTTCCTCATGGTTACTTATCACCTGTGTTCCTTCCACATTATTCTGTATGCAATCTGCCTTCTGGGGCTCTGCTTACTGTCATCTGCCCACACAACTTTACCTCCACCACCATGTCACGATCCACCATTAGGCCTTCACTCATCTTCTTTCATTTCCCAAAGCAGCACCAATATCAGGAACAGAAAAGAAAGCAACTTGAATTTCAGCATAAGGCTTCACTGTTCTCAACTCTTGCCTTCGGGTAAATCTCTTCTAGGGCTCCCACAGCAAAAGTTCCAACCCTTCCAACCCTCCCACCTCAGTTCCTGTAATATTTGAGGACAGGACAGAGGGAGAGGACAGAAAAATAGAAGAAAAGGGGAAGGGAGTGGAAAGTCAGAATGCAAAGTCACATTTTTTCATGCCTCTTTAGTTTGCTATGGCAGCATGATAATCACAGGAAGTCTTAGTGTCTTTTTTTCTCCCATATTTCTTGCTTGCTTCAAATCTCAGACCCAGAATCATCTGTTCGATTTTTGGAATTAGACATAGCATCACATAGTCCAGTCAAGAGATATACTGGTTTTCTGGCTCTGGAGGGTGAAGAAGTTGGTCCATTTTTGGGGTGCAAGTATGCTCATCTTTGCCACTTTCAAGCTACAAACTTAATGCCACTCAGTGTGAAGTTGGGAAGACATGCATGTGGAACTGGCTCTGAGAAGTAAATTGTGAGCCAGCTCCAACACACCACTGGCTCAATCTATCGGAGAATAATTCAATCCACTCTGTCACAGGCCTAACCACCTGGGTGTCTTTCAATTCCCTTTCCTGGCTTTGCTTCCTCCTGCAACAAGACTTCTGTGCTTTCTGTTCCTTCTGCTTAGGATCATCATTCCTTCCCTTTCACCTCATCAATGACTACTCATCCATCTGTCCTCAGCACAACTGTGCTTTTTTAGGCCAAGCTTTTTATCTGACCTCTCTAGGCAGGTCAAGTTCTTAATCCTAGACTCTCATTGTACCTTGCACTTTCCTTTTGTGGGATATGTCACAGGTATAATTTTACACTTGTCCAATTGATCATTTGGTGAATGAATGTCTGTCTTCCTTCCTGGATGGCAAGCTCTGGCAGGTCAGGCCAGGTCTGCTCCTTCTCATGTTGCATTCCCAGCACCTAGCCTGCCAAATAGCAGGTGGGTGGTGACAATTGGTCATCACAGATAATTCCTCCAAGCTTAGCACATCATTAGCTGGTTACTTTTCACAGGAATGTGGGAGGCGGGGGGAAAAGGCACTTAAAATGGTGTATCTCTTCTTCTTTAACATCATACTTGAAGGTGCTTCAGGCCAAGAGACATTGTCTTGATCACACTCATTGAAATGTCCATCTTAGGGACTTCTTCGTATATGAAGAACCACACATACAGTAAACGAACATAGAAATCATTTCTAACTTTTGTATACCCTTGAGATACATAATATCTTGTGTGGCTACTTGATACCATCTTCCAGTAAATAACTACATTTCCCCCATTCTTTGTTTCTACATATACCTGCTGAATACATTTGAATATATCCAACTAAATTGATTCAATCTGGAACCTAAGAAGAGAAATAGAACTTTTGATGTAATATGTAATATTCAGTCCTCAAATCCTATTTCATCCCTGAAATATATAACATCACCCTTTAAAAAATAAAGGTGTTTATATTATTTAGCCTGTTAGTTGAAAAGGCTTACAAAAAACTATTAAATAATAGCTATAATATAGAGTACCTGTATGCTGAATCCTCATAATTCTATGAAGCCCAGAGAAGTTAAGCTAATTGGAAGACACACTTTTGGAAAATGGTGCCCACACTTCTCATTACTAAACTCTCAAGCCTAAGGGGAGAAAATTCAAATTTACCAGTTAGACAAGATTTCTAGGGGTCAAGATGTGAGAATAGAATTGGAAGAAGGCAAGAAGAAGTTTAAAACACTACGCTCTCAGTTGTTGTTACCTTCCAAATTGTTACCAAGAAATTTTTAGAGGAGAAAAAACAACTTGCATCTCTGTCCACACATAGTTGTCAGCACTGGTTCAGGAGTCTAAGAAGAAAAGTAGACTTTAGCTGATTCCTCTCTCATCATATGAGTTGTCATAGCCTAGTCATATTAGTATGAACATACTTTGGCAGTAAAATAATAGTTAAATTTAGTTAAACCCTTTAGCTATGCATCAAAAATCAGAAGTTGACTTTCTGATGTCTTATAGAATTTTCTGTAAGGAGACAAGTTTAGTGACACTGACTACAGCTGCTTCTCAGTAAAACTTCTTTTACCAATACCAACTTTAACTTTGAGAACTTCCCAACTGTGGGCTGCTACACTAAGGGATGGGGTTGCACAGGCAATGCTACACTGAATTCCTACAAACTCCTGTGATCTACTCACTGTGACTTTCCTCCTAGAATTGAGAGTTAAAGTAGCTCTAAGCAAGGGAGAGCAATATTCTGACTGTGATTGTGTTAATCTGGTTCTCTGTACATATTTTATTGAAAATACAAAAAAAATCAGGAGGAGGTTTTTTTTTTTTTTTTTTTTTTTAAACTTTGTCACTTTCCTATGTGAATTCCTGAAATTTTACTTCTGGAAGTGGGGTGCTGGTGGTTCATTCCTGTAATACTAACTATTTAGAAGATTGAGATCTCAAGATTATGGTTCAAAGCTAGTCCAGGCAGGAAAGTCAGTGAAAGGAAAGTCTTCATTAACCACCAAAAACATCAGAAATGGATCTGCGGTTCAAGTGTCAGAGCACCAGACTTGAACAAACAGAGACAGTGTCCAGGTCCTTAGTTAAGTCTTACAATGGGTACAAAAATACATACATACATACAAACATACATACAAACAAAATAAATTAGTGAATTTCTGGAGACACTTTAAAAACATTTTTATGAGAGATATTCTCCTTTGTAAGAAATCTAACAAAAGAATCTCTTAGTTTGCTGAAAAGATTTTTTAAGCAAAGCAACAACAACAAATGAAACACAGCTCTGAGAAATAAGAAACTAAATAAACCAAGAGTGAGAGAAGGGGTGACATTATCCAAAAAAGAAATGTACTCATTCCCTGACTTATATAATTGTAACCCCTCTGTACATCACTTTTATAATGACAATTTAATGAACAAATGAACAAACCACAGTTTTCATCCTCAATATATTCTAATCCTTTGGTGGAGTTTGAAAAGAATCCTCACACGTGGGCTTCATCTCAGACCAATTAAATCAGAACTTCTGGAGGCAGAGTGTGGGCCCTAATGATTTATAAAAGCTCTCAGGTGGTCTAATGCACAGCTGTGCTCAGAGCACATTGCCTCTGATCCTGTTCTGAACACACAAGACTTCTCAGCTGCTTTTTCTGCCCCTCTTCCCATGCCAGTGCTCTTTGTGCAATGTAAACAACAAAAAATCAATATTTAAAGTCTCTATTTTGCTAATAGGTTTAGTTTTAAATGTCTAGCACCCGTTGCTATCCTTCGTTTTATCAATTTTAGCTATGCTCTGCCACCAGAAATTTCTAGTTCCAAGAGTCATACCAAAAGGCAACAGTAGAGGGCCCACCTCTCTCAGAAAGACTGAGGAAAGGCAGGCCCTTGTATTTTAAATGGATGACCCAGAACTTTCCGTAAGGTTTAGGGAGAGGATCAAAATGCATTGGAGAAGAAAAGAGTTGAGAGCTGACACCCAATAATCAAAGAAAAGTTGCAAAGAATCACTTTTAATAAAGAAAAATGCTAGAATGGAAGGAGCCAAATTGAGTCAAGAACATATGGCCTTTGATACTGATAATGAAAGTAGTGAAAGTTAGAACAGGGAAGTTGACAAACCATGAAAGTTGAGTCCCAAAGTTCCCCTTGCATATGGATATCTTTTTTTCCCCTTTTTGGGTGAAAGTGGGAATGGAAGACGTAGGTGTATATGGACAACATCTGTGAGTTAATTTGGCTGTGTCTTTGGCCACCAATGTGCACCATGCTGAAGGACCAATAGGCCAGGAATTTTCTACTGCTTCAGGTATTTTTAAAATTGTTTTCATTTTCACTTTCCCCAATCTGTATTACACTGCAGAGACATTAACTAAGTATATCACTCCTCAGAAAATAGTATAAGGAAAAGTCCAATTGAAGGCTACCTACTAGATGGTTTAGTTTTCTAATATGAGGACTTTGTTCTAATTAAAAGAGTGTTTAAGGAAATTGTATTTTTTTTTTTTGCAAGTACAATCTTTAACCACTTAAAAATAATAATAGTTGCCGGGCAACGGTGGCTCACGTCTAGCTAAGGAGGAGGCTGAGATCTGAAGATCATGGTTCAAAGCCAGCCCGGGCAGAAAAGTCCATGAGACTCTTATCTCCAATTAACCACTAGAAAACCGGAAGTGGTGCTGTGGCTCAAGCGGTAGAGTGCTCACCTTGAGTTGAAGAACACAGGGACAGCACCCAAGCCTGGACTTCAAGCCCCACGACCGACAAATAATAATAATAATAAGTCTGGGCACTGGTGGCCCAGATCCTCAGGAGGCTGAGATCTGAGAATGTGGTTCAATGCCAACCTGGGCAGGAATGTCTATGAGACTCTTATCTTTAACGACCAGAAAACTGGAAGTGGAGCTGTTGCTCAAGTGGTAGAGTGCTTGCCTTGATCTGAAGAGCTGAGGGACAGTACTTAGGCCCAGAATTCAAACCCCACGACCAACAAAAATAAAATAATAATAATAATGATAGAAGCTATCAATAGCTTTCTCCTACACCAGAAAACTGGAAATGGAGCTATTGCTCAAGTGGTAAAGTGCTAACCACGCTTAGAGATCCTGCAATACCAAATTGGTGCATGGTGTGGACAGATCAAGCTCCTATTACATCTTTTTGCTCCAAAAAGTCATTTAATATATTGTCTGGAGAGGCAATATCCAACATTAAATGGGGGAGGACAGACATTGCATGTGATCTAAGCCAAAAAGCTGAGAAGGGATTGGAGTTTCACTTTTAAATGGCTTTTCTGCTTTCTTTCCTCTGGCTGGTAGAAGTTTGAGATGACATTTTCACTGTTAAGGATATGTGTGTCCTAGTTTTTTAAGACCCATCATGACTGAAAGTTCAGATTCCAGTTTTAGTCATTAGTTTCAACTTTTGACCCCAAGCTGGGCTGGGACCTATATAGAGTCAGAGACCCCCTGCTCAAAGCTGCAGTGGGGAGGGGGATAGGAGGTCGATTTCTTTTACATAGTGTTTCTGTCCTGGAACATGAGCTGTCACTCCAAAGACATGTTGCTCCGTACACAGGACTAAATCATCACAGTCCCCATTAGAATGCTCACAAACATGCTGAGCTCTGCCTTAGGCCTGCCACTGATGATGTGAGAAGCTAGAGCAGGCATTGCCCCTGCCCTAAAGCTTTGGTGGAAAATAATGATGTTTTTCCTTCACGCCCACTCATTCTCAGGCCCTGGTGAGTAAAGAGAAGGGAAGGGTGGTGATAGCCTAGTGCAGACAAAGCAGCGCCAGTAGACATGGCCATAAGGACAGGTAGACAGTGAACTACAGCTTTATCACATCCTTTGACATAAGATCTCCTCAAACCTGTTCCAGTGCTGTATAAAAATAGAAATGCATCCTTAAGATGCATCCTGATATACTTATTTTACTTGTGCATGTCAAGTTTTGTTTTGATTTCGCAGTGCTGAGGATTAAACCCAGGAGCTAATATATGCTAGACTCTAACAATGCACTATATACATCAAACCCCTAAAGCTATTTTTTCTTAAAGGTTGACTTTTATTTAAGACTCAGCATGGAAGACTATGGCAGTCTGGTTAATACTCAGTACTCAGCTTCCATGAGCACATTTGTAAACACACCCGATGGTGGTAGTATGGTGGGGTGGTAACAAAGCTGAACTATGGATCACTTCATTCATGAGTGCTTGATTAATCCCAGTTATAACTTCGGGCAGGTCTTGGAGCTGCACCTATGCATACTGCCTCTGTGAAGAGACCTTATAAAATCTATATTCAAGGGGCTGGAAATGTAGCTTAGTGGTAGAGTGCTTGCTTAGCATGCATGAAACTCTGGGTTTGGTTCCTAAGTACCACATAAACAGAAAGAGCCAGAAATGGCATTGTGGCTCAAGTGGTAGAGTGCTAGCCTTGAGCAAAAGAAGCTCAGGGACAGTGCACAGGCCTGAGTTCAAGCTCCAGGACTGGCAATAAATAAATAAATAAATAATAAAATAACATCTATATCCAGCTTTTTAAATAGAAAGTTTAAGCAGCTGGCTCACACCTGTAATCCTAGCTACCCAGGATGCTGAGATCTGATTATCACAGTTCAAAGCCAACCTGGGCTGGAAAGTCCGTGAAACTCTTATCTCCAGTAAAACACCAGAAAACTGGAAGTGGCGCTGTGGCTCAAGTGGTAGAGCGCTAGCCTTGAACTGAAGAGCTGAGGGACAGTGCCCAAGCCCAAAGTTCAAGCACCAGGACTAACAACAACAAAAAAAGAAAGAAAGAAAGAGGAAGAAAAGAAAAAGTTTAAGTGCTATGAAAATTTTAAGAATGTATAATAAACCCAACTATGACAGTGTTTTCTAGCTGAAACTCTTTTATCTTTCTCTAATGTGTCTGGAATAAATCCAGACTGTCAATATATTGTAAATTATCACCAACCTACCTCTCCATCTTTTCCTTCTACTACTTTCTACTAGCTCTGTAACTCTTCAGTGCATACCACTAGCGGGAGTTCTGTGGGCCCATTCATGTTACAAACATGTTTTGTTGGAAAGGAATTTTGTTTGGCCATCTTACAGAATTTCTATCTTCTTGTTAAAAAAAAAGAAAATGGAAGACTTGGCAACAATGGGCCAACATCTGTGCATAAGATCCAGTAGTCAAAGGTAGGTAATAACCTCTGCTTTAGATGAGCCCTGTGCTCTGCATCTCCACACTCTCTACCCCTTTCCATTGTACCATGTCTAGCTTGGTCAATGATGCTCTCTATTTCTGTAGATACTTCATGCTTCCATGTTGCTTCCTCATGCAAGTTCCTTCTTGAGAAATGTTCTTTGGAGTTCTTTCTGATAGTCTTCTACCAGTACCAGCTCCTTTTTCCTCCTTTGTGAGAACCTTTGTTGATGCTTTCTTATAAATACTATCATCAAGAGACTATAATCACACATACTAAAGTTCTTTATAAGCATCAGCTTCCCAATTGCTATCTCCTTGGGCACAAAACTCTAGTATTATTTAATCTCTGAACTGCCAGTATTCAGCACAGATGCTGATGAATGAATAAATATTTACAAGAGTCATAACATGAGACAGAAAAAAGTGTACTAATGTTTACTTAGAAGGGAGAGTGATTTTTTTTTTCTGAGTCAGACATCAGTTGTGTTAAGCGCTTGAAAAGTGGGGCAAAAAAGTAGGGTAACATGAAAGAAGACAGGCAGAATGGCTGCTTCAAAACAAACTCAGACAACAGGACACAAAACTGTACATTCCTTTCAGGCATAGGTATGTAAAGAAGAAGGAGACGAAGACAAGGAGAGGAAGAAAAAAGAAAAAAAGAGAGATTACAGTGATTTGGGAAAGATTGTAAGAAAACAGACATAACCATTGTATGTATATTCTCTACCTAGAAACATTTTCAAATATAATCCTACTTACTGTTTTTACATTAAGGAAGGTCATTGTTTCTAAATCTATTCTTCTCCATCATAGATAAGAAGTTCAAAGTTCAGAGTGTTATGAAGCATAGAATAAAAATGAGGAAAAAAGCACATTTTATTTTTTTTGTAATTTGATCTGACTCATGAGGTAGGAGGAAAAAATATTGAATTAATTAACATCTAAAAGATATAACTTCTAGGTGCCTAGTTGGCTAAAGGTCAACCATATTTTCCCAAAACAACAACATAGTTTTAAAATTTGTCCTATGTTTGTGTTGTAAATTAATTCTAGCCAACAATAAAGTTATGGAGAAGCAGTTGAACAGATGTTGATTTGATAAGACACATAAAAATTATTTACACTTACAACAATAAAACTAATACTATATGCTAGTGAACAATAATCTGATGTGTGAAGTTGAGTCTAATACATGCCCTATTGTATGACTCAGAGCAACTCTTCATTCAGCTTCTAACTAAAGTGCTCTAATAAATTATTCTTTATGTTGCTTACTGGTCATCTTAGTTCTTTTCCAATAGCTGCTTAGAAAAGAAGAAAGCAGCATATAGAGACAAGTTGCCAGTTTTTTTTTAATGAAAGAAAGCACTGTAAGTTGACGTGTTTATGTAGGAAGTTTATTGTGAATGGCTTCAAGGAAATGCATATGTGTCTATATATGGATAACAAAAATTTAGGAACATACTTTTCTTTTTAAAAAACTTTCTCTTACAAAATCCTGTTGAAGAAATAAAACATACACATCTATGTATAAGATACTAATTTCCTCAAGTATCTTCTACAGAGTTACAAAACTCATGATGAAATAACAGCCTCTTTAGTTACTGTGTTCAATATTTTACTTCAGTTTCTGTCGTTAGGAGGCCCTTGGCATCAGAACACTGATTCTCAATCCCAGAACCCTAGGACCTCGCTGAATAAGCAAATGAGAGGTAGAAATAGTACAAAGGGAAAAAAACTGAAGAAAGAAAACATGTCTTCATGTTATCTTTCTAAAATATCTATTTTCATAATATCTATTTTCCTTTCCTGTTACCAGTTTTCAAAGTCAAATGCTGCATCTTACTTAAACAGCAAAATGTATAGACTGTACAGTCTAATAGACTGTTCTTGAATCTTGGATCCTGTCTCTCTGTTTTTCTCTTTTTTTAAAAAAAAAATCTGTCTCTTGATCCTAAGGGGTTAAATTGTGTCCTTTGGAAAATGGATTAATATTTTGCCAAGATAATTAAGACAAAATGATGACATTGGTTATAGTCTTACTTTCTTCTATTTATGTTCACCATAAAAGAAGTTGGTATTTGAACTTTTAGGATACAAAATTTATTTTCTCTTTCTCAATACATTAGTCAATGCAAGTTCTTGCCTATCATTCTCCACTGATGTAAAATATAATAATGCTTACTATAATGGCACTTACGTAACTAAACTTATACTTTTAATAGGATGCTTTATTTTGTCTTTGTGGCTTTATTCTATACCTGGACTTGTTACATTATCTGTTAATCATTTGAGTCCAAACCATTTGCAGTTCTCCATGTTTTATGCATGTGGATATATAGCAAATATAAAGCTTATATTCTAGGGGAAAAGGAAACAATAACAAAGACAAATAAGCACACACTACATACATTATATGAATATATATAAATGTAATATACTATATGTATATATATATTTATATATATATATATGAGAGAAGGTAAGTCCCAAAGGTGCTTGGAATGTGGAGATGGTCTGCACAGAAAAGTCTCACTGCAAAAGGAAATGTAAATGAAGACCTCAAAGGAAGTATAGAAGCAAATTGTGTGAACAAAGGGAGGAGCATCCAGGCAGAAGGAAGTGCAAGGGCTCTGTGTAATAAGAGTAGGCTTAATCTCTTCCAGGATCAGCAGAGAAGCTACAGTGGTAGACATGCTCTGAGCAAAGTCAATGGGAAGATGAAAGGTGCAAAAGTGCTACAGGGAAAAATAGACTAAAGATAGCCAATTAGAACAATGGAGACAGTAAAAACTAGCAAAGAGTGGTAGCAATAGAGGTGACGAAATGTGGTCAGATTCTGAATATTATTGAAAGGTGAAGCCAAAAAAATTTTCTTAATGAATTATGAAGATAAATAAGAATAACACCTAAGGTTATTTTTTTGTAAAATTCTTCATCATGATTTTGTCATTGTGAAGGATGATGCCTGAGTTTTATGAGCTACCAATGCCAGGGAAGGAAAGACTCAATGCCAGGGAAGGAAAGACTTGGAAGGAGCTAAATTAGAAAGAAAGGTTGCTGATCAGACA